AAAAAAAAAAAAAAAAAAAAAAAAAAAAAAAAAAAAAAAAAAAAAAAAAAAAAATTAGCGAATCAGCCAAATCTAGCTTCAAAATTTTGGAGGTAGATTTAACACATCCTTATTAGATTGACCCTTCTAATCTGCAAGGATGTTCACTTGTTTCAATCAAATTAAATGGGACAAATTGTCAATCCTAGAGTAAATAAGTGATCTGTCAGATATTCACTTGTTCCACTAAAATTAAATGGGACAAATTACCACTACTGGAATAAATCATTTATGCATGAACCAAAAAAACGGTTGGATTTTATGTCCTAAGCTCTATTTTCAATAAAGTTATTATTGTTGTTTATTCAGTAAAGATTATTATGGAATAAAGTAAACTTTACTATCATTCATCTAAATCCAATAAACTAAAAACACTCTAGCTATAGTATGATTACTTGAACTATATGTAAAGACATAAGAGTTAATCAAATTCAAGTATATAGTCAAAATGATCTATAGTATAAGGATAAGGAGAAGGCTGAGTACCTTATTCTGGTGACACTATGGATGCCCACTTTTGTGACTGAAGCGCGGGTCGACGTTCTGGTTCGGATTGCGGTTCGGGTTGGCTCGTGGGTCATCAGTTGCAAGTGGGCCACTAGGCTTCGGTTCGCGGGTTGGGGCGTAGGTTGATGTATTTTGCCTGAGCAGTTAACGCCAATGAGAATAGGAAGAAAATTATGCCAGTTAGAATAGGAAGAAAATAACAGAAAAAACACAAGAGAAAGATAGAAGACGTATTTAGATTCTGCTGAAAACCAGTGATTTGTTTTTTACACATATTTAAATAACCATTCTATGAGCTTCAAAGGATTATGGGTTAGAATAGGGTATTTTGCATTTCATTTATTTAAATTGTAATTATTATTTTTTTTATTTTGAACTCGAGCATGATGTTTGAAACACGTAAGGTCGATAGTATTTTCTAGTGTTTTAATGTACTTGGAAGTTTTAAATTTTTTCGCTAATAAAGATAAGCAATTTTAGAGTTATATTCTTCGTTAGAGATGAGCATGAGACATTAGTAGCGACTCGGAGTGAAATTTAGGGTCGTTACACTTCCTTTCCTGGAGTTTCATGGCTTGAAACTTGAACTATAATCACAGATTTATAGGTGTTTAGAAAACTCGAAATCTCGACCTCGTTTCTCGACGATGGTGCATATGAAAAGGACACAAAACGTACCTTGGGTTGTTGTGCAGTGGTCGGGGGTCTCTTTCGTAGTGTAACTTGGGTGTATTGACGTCGGTTTTGGGTTGTTTTGTTCGTGGGTTTCATTTTCAGATCCTCACCGGAAAACTTCGCCAACTTCTCTCTCCCTCTTTCCTCTATGTTTTTCTCTTCTGCAGGTGTTTTGGGAGCGTGCTGAGGACGGAGCTGGCATTTGGCTAGAGATTTGGGTGAGTTGTGGGGGTCGAAGAAGTAATTCCGCGACCCCCACGAAATTTCCGGCAGGCACCAGTGAGTTTTCCGGTGACAAGATTTTTTTTTTATCATTATTATTTCTAATTCATTACAACTCAGATACATCAAAGGTTTTGCATCTTTGTGCAATTATTTTTAGGAAGTCTAAAAACAAATAAATGTATCCAAATCATTTGAGTTGTTTGTAATTCTAAAAAACAACTTAATTAGATTGTCTATGATCTCGGTAGAATATTAATATTCAATTTAACAATTTATAAAGAGTGACTAAATATCAACGTAACTATTTGGATCAAATAATTTGTAATAATTATAAAATGAGTTATAGGAGTAAATTTAAAATTTTAGAAGTATTTAATAAATAAAAAGATGTTTGGTATCTTTGAAGGTGTGTTTTATGATATTTTTAAAAAAATTTATGAATTTATTATTATACACCAAATTAAAAAATTTAAAAACTTAATAAAGAAAAAATTTAGAAATCTAAAAATCTATTTTTTTTTAAAAAAAAGTAATTAAAAAACTTAATAAAGACAATATTTGGAAAGAAAGGTAGAAGCATGGAATTGGATATTTGATGTGTTTGGTGGTGGGAAAAAAAATGAATCCAAAAAGGGCACACGTGTCGGGCGAAGAGGGAAGGTGTACAGAAGCCGCAGGTAAGATTAGAAAAAGAAAATAAAAAAAGGAACGTCCACTTGGTATGAGCGGACAAATTGAGCTTTCCAGCTGGATCAAGGCGTAGGCCGACCCCTTTTAATTGAGTGGTTTATTCACCCAGCTGGGTCCCACCTTCACACGTGGCCACGTCACCTTTTCTTTTTCTTCTTCTTCTTCTTTTTTATTTTTAAATAAATAAATAAATATATATATATATATATTAAAGAGACAGCAAACCAACAACAATTTGTATTGCCCCTTCAGAAATTGGAAAGAGAAAAAACAAAATTGAGATTCCTTTACCAATACACTTTCTTATTTTTTATTTATTATTTATTTAATTATTTTAGTTATTATAATTATGTATATTAGGCAAATGAAAGATATTTTAACATCTCAAATACTGTTTAGAATATCAATGATTGGGGATTTGATTTCTTCTTCCACAATCTCCCTAACATTGTCCCCAATATAATATTTCTTTTATTTATTTATAATATATATATATATATATACACTCATTTTCTATTTTGATGGAACAAATTTTTGTATAATAAAATTTTAATCTTTTAGTAGAATGGATGGAAAATTAATTTAAATAAAGTAAAAAAAAATTAAGGAATACAATATAATTTATTAAAAACGGTTGAAAATGTGTTAATTTTTGGCATGGGTTGCAATATAATGATAAATGATAAATGATAATAATAATAATAATATTTGGGGATCAATATTCTGAAAGGAATTGACTTTTTATGCAATTTATCATTGATCATAACTTTATTTTATTTTATTTAATTTAATTTTTTATTAACCAACCACCCATTTCAAATCAATTCTTAGTTGCTCATAATATATTCTTCTTCTTCTTCCTCTTCTTTTATTTAAGATGACCCTCTACTTTCCGTATTTGCAAATCACTCCCTCTATTTTTGTATTTTTTTATATTTTCATAGAAAGAAAAAAATAATGTTCCAGTCGTATATCTAATATTTATGTATTTAATACATAATGTAATACTTAAATAAATGAAGCATATATGTACTCATAAAGTGCACCATCTTTTCAGTTGCTCAATCATAGGAATTTCATAGTTAAACATGTTTTGTTTTGAGTAATTTTATGTGGGAAGATCTTCGAGGATTTTCCTAAGATGTATGTAAGTGAGAATAAAGCCTATTGAAACGACTTGTGTTGGTCCGCACGAATAATTTACTAGAAAAATCTATTATAAAAATTTTAAAAAAAATTAAAAACTTTGAATTTTTTTTAAAAATAAAACCTAAATAGATAAAATACAACTGTGTAAAAGATGAAATTTATAATATAATTTATAATTGAATATATTGTTTTGTTTTAAATCTAAGCCCATTTATTTAATTATATGGTTTGAACTTTACATAAAAATATATCTTACCGATCCAAGATATTATACTTATATATTTAAAATATTCTTACTACCAATATTTTTTAATACTGCGTTTTAATGAAATTACTAGATTTGACAACAATCCGCACAAATATTAATAAAACTAACAATATAATTTAATTTATATATTTCCAAAATTATAGGAATCTTAAAATAAAAAAAAAAAAAACAAAAAAAAAACTGATAGATTAAAATCTAATTTAAAGTTGCTATCATATTTCATTACTTAAAAAAACGACTTCATAAAATAATGTCGTAGACTTGCATGTTTAGGAAAATGTCTTAAAATAATATAAAAAAAAATATTAAAATAAACACAAGTAAATAGTGTCTTATACTATCATAAGATCTACGAAATTAAATGCAACTACCCTATGTAAGTTTCACATTCTTTACTTGTGATGTCACCATCAACCATACACGAGTGTTGTCTTTATCTGAAATACAAAAGTAGCACATAACTTGAATATTTTAAGAAAAAGTCAATAAGTGACCCCATTATTGGAGTTAGGAAATGCAAATACATGCAATTAATAATTAGAGACTTATCATTTAAAATCATCATAGATGTGATCTCCAATCCGAAAAAATTAAATGTGTAGTACTTCCCTACACACAACCCACACATGTAAGCATGGGCCCACCAGGTTGGCTCGCACACCTCCTGGGTCTGCATGATCGGGCTAGTTGGTTGTAGTCGAACATCTGGAGGTACAACAAACCCCTCGTATATCATGCAAAACATGATGATGATGATCATCATCATAGTGTACGCGTCTATACTCGTCATAAGAGGGGAAGTATTCCGATGTAAATGAATATACAATATGCATGAGATCCCTATACTTTTCATGTTAAACCATTCATGCGACACAACCCCCACATCTTTCATATTACCCTAAGTAACATGCGTACATAAACTTTCATACATTCATCATTCATAACATCACTTAGGGTGATGTATAAGAAAACTCTTCATTGTCATAGTGTAACATGACATCTCATACATGCACATCATCGTAACATGAGATATCATCATACTATGACATGTCTCATTATACATCTCATGTCATCATATCATAATATATCATTATCATAACGTATCATAGCATCATAGTACATCATATTACCATAATACTTCAAATTATTTAAAAAAAATATTCTTAAATTTTAAAAAAATTGATCAATACTAAAGAATAAAAAAAAAAAGAAAATTACATTTATGGTAAATATATGAAGTATCATTAATATCTTTAACTTAAAAAAAAGTTTTAGAGAGTTTTTACCAATAATATACGAATAAAATTTGGTATAAAACTTGTTAATTAAATTTTAAAAGGTATTAAGAGTTTAAGTTGAAAACTATTTTTAATTTTTGTTAAAAAGTTGGTGTTATTGAAAATTGCCTTTGGGGAGGAAAATGGAAATATGTAGAGAGGAAGGACTATATTGCAATACACTCAAAGCAAAGGGACTGAAATGTAAAATTAAAAAAAGAAAAAAAAAAGAAGATGGTTGAAGGGTATTATAGGCATTTAGAGAAAAATGTCATTATCAGAGAGCTTGGCCGAAAATCCCATCTCCAACCCCACCGTTCCGCTTCTCTCTTTCATTCTCTCTCTACCAGTAAAAAACAACTGTGGGTTTTTTTCTCTCACTTCATCTTCCTCTCTCTCTCTCTAGAAATTCTAGCTGGGAATTTTTCCCCGCCATTCGATCGACCTTGCTGCGACTAGATAATTTGAAGAAAATTTTGAAGATTTGGTGAAAATGGTGTTGCAGAACTATCCACTGTCCGATCCCCTCTGCTCGATCTGTTTCTGACACTGAATGTACCACCGCCTGTGAGACTCTGTGGTCCTTAATTTTCCTAATTTTCATCCTCATTATGATTTTCTTTTCTTTACCTTTCAGGAACCTGTTTGAAATTGCCCTCAATTTGGGAGGGGTTTCCGGATTTTGTTTCATTCTGTGATTTTGCGTTTCCTTGGGGTTTCATTGGAGTCTGAGAGGGACTCTGTGCTGTGCGTTTCTTCATTTTCGGTTAGTATTTTGTTTACTGTTGTTTATCTGGAAGTTATGCTGCTGAATCTGTGTTAAGATTTAGATCGGAAAGTGGTAGTTGTTTGAGAATAATTTTTGTGGATTTGTCATCGAATGTTGCGAGGCTCATTTGATTGATTTGAATGAGTAGGAATGAGCAGGAATTTGGGGTGTGGTCTTGGAAATGCCGAAACATAGGACGAAATGAGTCAGACAGAAGTATCAAGGATTAAACCCCCTCTCGTTCCGCTTGCTACCTTGATTGGTCGCGAGCTGAGGAACGAGAGGGTTGAGAAACCTTTTGTGAAGTACGGACAGGCTGCTTTGGCAAAGAAGGGAGAGGACTACTTTCTGATTAAACTTGATTACCACCGTATTCCTGGAAACCCTTCTACTGCATTTTCTGTTTTTGCGGTATTATTTCCTTTCATAACTTTTTGTGCTCTTAGTTATCTATAATACTTTAGTTATTGTGCTACTTGAGTTCTATGATTACTGAGGAACTGGCTTCTATTTGCAGATTTTTGATGGGCATAATGGCATATCAGCCGCTATCTTTGCAAAGGAACATTTACTGGGTAATGTTTTAAGTGCAATTCCTCAAGGGGCCAGTCGAGAAAAATGGCTACAAGCCCTTCCTCGAGCATTAGTTGCTGGTTTTGTCAAAACTGACATAGAGTTTCAGCAAAAAGGTATGTAGCATGTCGTCTATCGGCGTTCTTCTTCTTGAATACACAATGCCATTATTCACATGTAATCTTATCTTACTTGCAGGGGAAACTTCTGGTACTACTGTTACATTTGTTGTGATTGATGGGTGGACTGTTACAGTGGCGTCCGTGGGAGATTCACGGTGCATATTAGACACCCAAGGAGGTGTGGTTTCTCTATTGACGGTTGATCATAGGCTGGAGGAAAATGAGGAAGAGAGGAAACGTGTAACTGCGAGTGGTGGTGAGGTTGGGAGGCTCAATGTTTTTGGCGGCAATGAGGTTTAATTTTATGCATCTCTGCTGACTCTAGTCATACATGATAATGTTTTTGGGCCCTTATGTGACTTCCATTTACAGGTCGGTCCTCTCCGCTGCTGGCCTGGTGGCTTATGTCTTTCTCGGTCCATTGGTGATACAGATGTAGGAGAATATATTGTCCCGATACCACATGTTAAGCAAGTGAAGGTGACCTCTCAATCTATCAGTAGTTGTTTGCCTACTTATTCAGAATGTGCCTTGACTGACTACTCTGCTATGTTTTCCTAATTGGTTATGCAGCTTTCTAATGCTGGCGGACGACTAATAATTGCTTCTGATGGTATATGGGATGCGTTATCCTCTGATATGGCTGCAAAGTCTTGTCGTGGTTTACCTGCAGAGCTTGCTGCTAAGCTAGTTGTGAAGGTGAGTTTCAATTGTAGACTTTAATGGTATGGTATGGTATGGGATCAATGTTCTAAAAGGCTTTGAAGGTTTTTTATTCCTTGAGGCAAGAATCAACGTTTCGGTCTCGAACCATAGGTCTTTATATGATGATAAAAACTAAAAGAACAAGTTGATTCTGTTTGTGTTTAGATTGAGGATTACTTACACCTCAGTTCTTATAGTGAAAAAACTGCCCTTGGCCTTTTGGAATATTCATAGGAGTTCCATTTCTTTTCAATCCTGTCAATATTTTGATCGGCTCGTATTATAGGAGGCTCTGCGGTCGAGGGGGTTGAAGGATGATACAACTTGCTTAGTTGTTGATATCATACCATCCGAGCAACCTATATTATTACCACCAACTCCAAGGACGAAGCAAAATGTGCTCACCACACTCTTTGGGAAGAAATATCAAAACTCTTTGGGCAAATCTGCAAATAAACTTTCTGCTGTTGGAGTGGTGGAGGAATTGTTTGAAGAAGGTTCCGCTATGCTTGCTGAAAGGTATAATTGATGCATTTCTTCTTTCTTTTATTTATTCCCTTTTGCTCTTGAAGCATGGTATGTTGTCTGAGCTTGGACGACGGTTTCCTAGGATTATTCTATTCGCTTGCTATATATCGTACTTCAATTAGCCAAATAATATCATAGTGTGGAGTTTAACTTAGACTCTTGGTTCTTCCTAACTTGTTATATTGATAGAAATAGTGGTATTAAGATAGTTTCCTAGGATTGTTCTCTTCATTGTAGATTTATTATACTGTAATGAACGAAAAACCTTCGATTTTCTTTCGTTGTTGAAAAAATTATCTCTGTTCCAAACTGTTATATTAATAGAAAACTGCTGAATTCTGCTGTAATTATTGTAATTTCTATCCAAAAGTGACTTGAAACATGTTCACTTATAATGGAAATGCAGGTTAGGCAAAGATTTAGCGTCAGATCCAAACTCAGGGATCTTCAAATGTGCAGTTTGTCAAGTGGATCAACCCCCAAATGAAAATTTGCCAATGAATTCGGCGCCTTTCTTTTCGCCATCGTCAAAGCCATGGGAAGGTCCTTTCCTCTGTGCAACATGTCGAAGAAAGAAAGACGCCATGGAAGGAAAAAGGGCAACAAAACCTACAATAACGGTCTAGTAATTTATCCATCCCATAACGTATATGTTGATAACTCCATATAATTTTTTTTCCCCCCTCATCTGGCAGTGTGAGCATGCTTGTTTTTTGGCTTTCCCTGTGGTGATTGTTATAGATGCGTGTAAGAAAATGAGAGGGTTGAGATAAAAAGAAAGAGTTGGTAGAAGAAGAAAGTTGTTTTGGAGACACTTCTAAAAAGCTTGCTTTCATTTGGTTTCTTGCTCAGCTGTTGGACTGACTCACTGACTGACTCACTGACTGAGAAGATAGGAAAAACATGAATTTCAGAGAAAATTGTAGATTGCGTAGTGTGATTGTTCCATTGTCTTAGCATTCTATATCAACATCTGCTCTTCAAGTTTGCTTCATAATTTGCAACCATGTCATAGCCATTGCCTGAATTATAATTTTTTGAGTGCAATTGTAACGACCCTTGTAACTCAAGACTTTGCTAGTTTCTCTTTAAACCCGCCTTAATCTACCAAATGAGAGAGAGACAGAATACTGAAGATTGTGTTAGCATGATTCAAACGTGATTCGAATGAGGACACCCGAGTTATAGGTTGGTAATCGGATTATCAAGTAAGATTGAAAGGCTTATGAGTTGGTTCGGTCGAACTTACTCCATACTCTTTCATTGTTCAAAGCCAAACCGTTTCTTGACTCTTAAACAAACTTAGATATTTTTCAATGACTCAATATCAAACATTTCAACTATTGAAATTTGGTAAAAACACAATCACAACTTTCTAAAAATAATAGACAATGATTATGTTCTTAATGAAGAAAACACTTTCAAAGTTTCATTAACATAATAGTTATATAATATAATAATGGTAATGACCATAGATTTTATACTTGTACACCTATAATGAACATTTAATCGAAAATACTTCAATGAAAACTTAATAATAAAAACATGGTTGTGATCTTGCATGTCTCTTCTAACGTCTTTAATTAAAATAATACAAATTGAAATAATAAAAATAACTTAAAGTAAAAATGCCTTATACTAACTTATAGGTTACTAAATGAAAATACAACAAACCTATACTAATCTATAGCCTACTAATTCAAATTACGAAACTATCATAAGCATGTGCCACGGTCTCCTATATTGTGATGCCACCGTCGGTCGTACAAGGGAGCCTTGTCTTTACCTGAAAATAAGAGTAGTACGTGACTTAAGTATTTTAAGAAATACTCAGTAAGCAACTCTCTATCGGGTTAAATGCAAACACATACAATTTCATGAAATGAGACCTATCATAACAGTCTATTTTCTTACAGCGGCATTCATAAATGGGCAATTTGGATGTGTACTTAATTTTCCTACACACGGTCGACACATGCGAGTATGGTCCCACTAGTTAGTTCACGCACCTCCTGGACCCCTTTTTGGTCGAGCAAGCATTCTCTGATAACTGTTAATGTCGGACACCCGTTAGGAATAGCGACCGTCTTGGCAGCATAATGATCGTTTCCTTGCCTCGTAGTGTACACGTCCGTAC